ACCTCGTTCGATTTTCATCAACGACGTCAAAAGTTGTTCTTCAACACCGGTTCGAGTCAATTGACAATTGATCACTTGAGTCCATCCGTAATGCATCGAAGATAAACGAGATTGAGACATTCGACTCATTAAATACAAACGAAAATTCGGATCGACAACGGATTTTTTCGATAAAATTTCCAAAAGAATCGGATCGAGAAATTCGTCACAATCTTTGAACAAAACGGGATAACTGAAAAGACAAAGTTTCAATCGTTCACCTTGGATTTTTCTCACCCGTATTTCATCGATAATTCGAGTTGTTTGATAAAATCTCGATTTTTCATTGATAAAATTTTCAAATTCGATTTTTCTTCTCGATGTTCGATCCACTTCGACATTTGACCTTGAGGATCGAGACAAAATGGATATCGACGTGTTTTCAATGTTAAAATGGCGTTTTCAATTGAATTTCGATCGGATGGTAACGTTTGTGAAATCCATTCAGAAATTTCGATGTTCGACGAAAAGAAATGTTCGAGACGAAAATTTTCATCGTGACGAATTTCTTTTTCATTTAAATTTGTTCGACAATGTTCATTGAGGAATTCGTGACGAATTTCCGATGGAAAAGGTGACGAATAGGAAAGAAATGCGGAGGCCAAAAGACAATCACCGATCAATTCATCTTGACGAGTTCGAATCGACAACAAATCGTTTTGCCAACCTTTTCGTTCACTTTGAAAACCATCGAGAAGTTGAGCAGCAGAAAGATGACGTCGTTCAGCTACATCAATTTCATTTTGAAAACGAATTTTTTCTTCGATGGCGGCGTCAAAACGTCGACGAAATTCTTCTAAAGTTTCACTCAATTTGTCGATACTCGTCTCGAGTTTTGTCAATTCGTTTCGATTTGTTTCGAATTCATTTTCCAATGATTTTAATCGATCTTTTTTCGGTTTGATTTCATTGAATTTCTCAACATAATGATCAACAGCAAAGAGAAACTTCAATAGACCAGCACCAACACGACTAACAGAATTCATCGCTCCGACAAGTTTTTCTTCTCGTTCGTGTCGAATCAAATGACTAAACAAACGATTTGGATCGAGTTTTTCTTCTAATTTGTTCAAATGAATTTTTAATTGAAGAATTTCTTTCGATGAAAAATTCGATAGATCACGTGTTTTCAAATTGGTGATGAATTTAGTATCGGCCATGACCGCTCGAACCTGAACAACGAGATCGAGAAGAAAATGAAAATGAGAGAGAAAGTTCGTACGTCTTTCCAAGTGATCGTTGGATGTGCCAAATAAATCAACATTGAATATCCGATCAGTCGTAACGTGTCGACCGGATTTGCAAAACTTCGCATTTCACTCAGATCGGCTGATTTCAATGTGTCGAGACCTTGTTGAGCTTCGATGAGCATTGGCATCGCTTCGACTAATTCAACTTCAGCTTGACGTTTTTCTTTTTCAATGATCAACATTTGTTTATCGACGAGTCGTTTTTTCTCCTCCGCCTCAAAACATCGAAACATCAACGTTGCGTTTTCGTTTTTCGTTTTTGGTAAAACTTACGCGTGACTTTCGTTCGTTTTGTTTCGATGTTAATTGAGTCATTTCGTCTAACAATGCATCACATTTCTTCGTTCTTTCTCCAAGTTGTTTTCGTTGTTTTTCTAATTTTTTGTT